CCCCCCTCAGCAAACTACCGTAAAACTCAAGTCTGTGTTTGATCGATCTGTCCATACTTTTAGCATATTGGAGGCACCAATACTCTATTCCAATCGTTGTTTCATCAGTAGCTCTTCTAGAACCGCGCCAGGTGGTAAAGGGTTAAGTTAATTTTGATCTGAAAATACGAAAAATATTCTTTTTCATAACTTATTGCAATATTATTTCTCTTTTTAGGCTCCTTATCACTACTTGATGTATTTCCACAATTACAGACACTTGTACTACGTAATATTCATGAATCTGATACCACTGATCTTGTACCTTACTTATCAAGTGTTCTATTTATTGAAAAATTCGTATTAGATAAATGTCCATTGAACAAAGCATCTACATTAATTTGTGAATATCTTCTAAATGGTTCATTGAAAACTCGCCTAACCAGTTGCATTCTCCAGAGTACTAGTAAAAATGAGAGCTTATTTTTCCATGAACCTCTTTCGTCATCATATCAACCACAACTTTCTCTCGTTTATCTTCGAATTGATATTCGTGACTTTGCTTCATTAAAATATTTTCTTATGTTTTTTCCAAATTTGTCTACACTTGGTAAGATTGATTCTTTATTTTTTTGTTTTACAGAGGGAGGAAACTTCAATTTCTTAAAAATTCATTTATATATAATTTAAAATAATCAGTATTATAGATGCATATGTCATTAGTAATTTAAATTTTATAATTATATTCCTGTGAAAACTTTTAATATCTTTGTGCAATTTCTCTCAAATCCTATGCTTCATATTTCTTCCAAGATCAATTGCACAAAAAGAATTTTCTGTTAAGTAATTCATCACTTTAATCTGAGTTTATCGTAAGTAACGTTATAAAAGATTTCGAGACGATACTTTTTAGGAAAATATCTCATAAGTATCGTGTAAATTTTTCGTTTTACTTTTGTGAAAAATTAATTTTGATTAATATAATAGATGTTCTTCTCGATCAAGACGTCAAAACAAGTGATCAAACGTTATTTAGTTCGACATTTTGTCCATGTTATCGTTTAACTAAATTGATATTGAGGTAAATGTGTACTCACATTATTGTTCAATATCTTAATTTCTAAGTAAAATTATATATTTAGATTACGCGATATGGTTGTACAAGATTTTACGAGTCTTACTAAATTCATTCTTCTTTTTCAACATACTCTTGTTACATTACATTTGGCTATGATTCATCAAGATCCAAATTTTCAACATTCATTAACTTACATTGATGGTAATCATCTTTTCAATGAAATTGTTATGCATATGAAAATGATCAAAGACTTTTCATTTTGGATTGAAACAACCTGTTTATGCAATCAACAAATGAACAATATTATTCAGTCATTTCAAACGAGTAAGTAATCAAACAGTTACTATACTATACTAATGTTACAAATGCATATTAATAATTTGAATGTGCTTGCCAAGACTTAAGATTAATTATTAAATGTTGAAGAAAGTTCTTTTCAATATATAAAAGTGTCCACTACAATCGAAGTATTTAATCTTTGTTACAATTATATTATATTGTAATAGAAATATTCATTGAAAAGATCATTTTTCTTTATTTATATAATATTAAAACTTTTTTAATTGAAATTCGATAGCACTTGTAATTCTCTAACAAACTGTATATATTGATTTTACCTTGCTTTTATATATATAGAAAAGAAATCTCAGAGTATTAAGATGTCTTGAGGATTGAATTCCTAATCGCTCGATTTTTGCAATCAGAATATCAGATAAATTATGACTCGAACAAAAACTCTTTAAAACTAAGTAAATATTCTTATAGTACTTGAAATTCTCTACCATGTTAGATCTTTTATAAATAATAATGACCTTTTTTTCTTAAATAGAATTTCACGAGAATGTACATGTCTTCCATTGACGATTTTTACATCTGTATTGTGGACATTCAAATTATTCGCATAACGCTGATCAAATATATAAAATGATAAAGAATTTGTAGAGCTACAAAAAATACCTAGTTAAATCTGAAAAAGATAATTTCTATAAGAATGAGAATTAGAAAGCAATGAAATCATATCAATAAAAGACATGTAGATTCTCGAGAAATTTTATTAAGAAACAGACAATATTATTAATAAAGTATCTAAAATTGTAGAGACTTCAAAGCGCTATCAGATTGTATACTGACTTTTCTCTAAACGTTCTGTTAGAGTATGAAAAGAGGTGAAATACACTGGTTAACTTTTACTTTCCAGAGGTATATATCTTAGAGTTGTGATTAATTATTCCTTCGAAAGAATATTTAATTATTACGAACTAAAATTTCTAAAAACTAAGAAATTTTTGTAATATATTTTAATTGAATTTTTTTGTAGAGTATTGGTTAACCATGCATATTGGATGTTTCTATGACAGCGTAAATAAACTTTATGTTATGTTTACACTACCTCATACTCTTAATCTTCGACTCACGATTTTAAATGATATAATACATACTCATTTTAATCATACTGATGATCGTTTAGATTGTTTAATATCAATGTTATATAGAAAGAGTCCAAGCATGTTTATACTTATAGGAGAAAATGAATCTCTTAGTGGAACATTTCTTCACATGTTAAAACAAGGCTCTCACACAGGTAAATATCTTTATTCCATATAAATTTTACACTTATATTATACTTAGGAAAATCAATTAGAATTAAACCAAATGGCATCTATCAGTTAGAACATAACGATCATAATCTTACACAATTTAATGTACTCGAAATTCAAAGACGTCATGAAAATCAACCAAGTACTGTTTATTTTAATAGATTTTCTTCGAATTTTCTACGAGCATTATTTTCATACAATAATTTCTATTTAAAATATAAGATTAGGTCAAATTTCAATATTCCTTCGTTCATTCGATAAAAAGATAAAACCAAAAAAAAGATAAAATCAAAAAAAAAAGAAAGATATGAATATATTTGTTCTATTTTTAACTATATTATATTAACATAAGTTTGGTCATAAAAGAGATGCATAATTGTGTTATTTACATATTTTCATATATAATATAATAGATGACAATAGTACGAAAATATCTATGATAGATTCATTACTAGAAATAATTTAGATAAAAAACTCTTTTCGTTGAATTATTCTTCTTAGAAAATATTTGCAAATTCTCGAAACAATTTCTTTTCCTAATATTTCAAATTCTTATTTTTATGACATTTTTTCATAAAATTTAAAAATAGAATTCTCTTAACTTTTATAAAAATTATAATTTATCTTGTTTTCTCATGACTAAGAGATTACATGATGGACTTTGCTTTCGATGATTGTCTTAAGTTTCAACATTAGGAACGAAACTACAAATTAACTAAAATCAAAACTAGATTATCGATAGTTCATATTTGATACGTTTAATAAACTAATTAAAGTTTTCATGTTTTCAATATTTAATAGAAATTTTCTTCTAGGTAATATATTCATTAATACAACAATTACTTGGCTTACTTGGATGCCACATATACGAATATTAAATATTGATAATGAACTTTTATTACAACTTAATATTAATATAAATCGATTTTCATCTCTAGAAATATTAATTATTCGTCAAACCAATAATTCTCTTACTAATGAACTGTTAATGATCATTACTTCTCTTGGTACATCATCCTCATTACATACTATTCATCTACAACAATATAGAATGAATTCTCAGCTTACAACAGATGATTTACTTTTAGTTTTACATCAAATCCGTCATAATCTATTTAGATTGAAAATAATGACAATTGAATTTCATAAAGATGCACTGTTTAATACCGAAATATTAGAAAAATTCACTGATATACAAAAGAAAAACTGTCATTTAGAATATATTCATATATCAAATGCTTGTATTGAATTGTGGTTTGGTCAATGATAGTAATTATATTAGATAGTTTTTTTTATATTAAATACAAATAGCAAACATTTTGTATCTATATCTATCTTTACTGTATATGTAGTTAATGAATACATTCTTTCATTCATTCATTCATTCATTCATAAATATACTGATAAAAATAATCTTATCTTAGATTGTATTTGAAAAATGAGTTAGACAGAATATTGAAATGTTAAATAAAACGAATTTTTAATTTCTATTGGTAAAACTTTAGAGAATTGACATGCTTTCATTGATTTAAAATAAATTGCTTGTTTCCTCTATTCTTAAACTGATTATCTGCTAAGAATTCTGTTATTGTTTTTCTTGAAACTATTGATATTTTTACTTCTACGACAAGAGATATTAGAAGTGAAAAAACATATTATTTAATATTTTTTCTTTCAAAATATTCCTTTTGAATCTATCTTTAAATATTTTTATTTATAAAAAGAAGTGGATGTGGGTGTTAATGAAGAAAAGATCGATTGACACCTACATCC